AAAAGAGAGAGATTATACTTTAGAAATAATATATTTATAAAATAGATAATAGAACAGTTGAAAAAGATCAAGATAGATAAACTAGATTTTTATATGAACAAATTAAGCCCAAATTAATTTTATTAAAATTTTTCAGCCTTTATTAAAAATATTAATCTTTTATTATGCTGTCTAACATCATGAATGTAACTGTCAAATTCTAACAGATTATAATATTTAATTTCCAAAAAGAATTGAATTTTAAGACTATCTTTTTTGAAATAAATAAAACCTATAACTATATTTTGGAATATTTTCAAATTATTTAGGGGAGAAGTGTCCTATAAATGAAATTTTGTTTGGTCATAGTCCATGGATCAGTTGACAAGTACAGGCTGTGGGTTGATTTTTGGTAGAATCAGATTAAAGTTAATTCAATATACTAACATTAGTTCAATGAAGATGACTACTGGGATACCTGCCTGCTGAAGATAAAAATTGACGGCTTTAAACAATTTTCAAATCAATAAATATATAACAAAACCTGCCGGCTGGGTAGCATTAGCCCACAATTTAATTTAAATCATTCATATATAGGGATATCACATTTGATTGAACTCGCGCGCTAAAAGGTCTCAATTAAATCAACCTGTTGGATCATCAATCTCGTGATCCAGGCAACCCCACATCAACTGATCGGACGGTTTTATAAGAAAGTAAAAAAGGAAAACCTTTTCGTTATTATTCAATCTTATGAGAATCAACTAGCCATGCATATGTGGATTGTACCTGTGCTGGACATAGATCTCCTCGACCAGCTTCCCTTAACGGGTTGCCAAGCTACACTCCCGCTCCCGAATTGCTCTATTTGGGCCCAGTCCGTGGTTCCTATGAAAATCAAAGTCTGCCTCAATCTGCTGCAACTGCCGTATATAACTAAACTGCACACGCAGCTTTAACGAGACTGAATGAATCCTAAACTTTAATTTTTTTAATTTAATGTATTGATATCTATTTAAAAAGATTAATTTTTTTTAAAACATTAGTAAAGCACTTGATCAAGATATTTAGATAGCGAAAATCAGAAATGTCCATATTAAAATTATTTATAACTCTAATTATTGTTTCGTTATGATGGAGGTTGAACCCTAATTGTCTCTCTCTGTATTCTCTCTTTTTGTGTTCTTCTGAATTTGTTTCTAAATTCGACCAACCGACTATCTTTTTTTGTTTGACATTTGGTTTCTTTTCGTATTCTTTAATCATTTTTTTTTTAATTTTTTGTTAAATTTTTGTTAATTGATATTTTTAAATCTATGAATGTCATTTAGAAACAAATTTTGAATTTAGTCTTTCATATCTATAATAGTTGATAGATGTTTTTGCTACCCTGCTTCTAGATAGAGTTAATTAATATTTTTTTCATTCATAGGGTTTCCATTTTTTATTGAGAATTCCTTTTATACGTGGATATTATTTATCGTTATAGTTCGAAAGACAAGATATAAATTTTTGGTTCTTAGTATTTTAAAATTTTCCAAATGTTGGATAAGTTTTTTTTTTTATCAATGGATGCCTTGATAATGCAGATAGTGTTCCTTCCATTAAAATTTGATAATAAGTTTCCGAAAAGATAATGTTCGGATTTAATATCGTGGAAGATTTGTTTTTGTCTGCCCAAGCATCAAGAATATTTTCCGGTATTTGTATTCTTATTCTTATAATGAAATATTAAAATTTCTTATATTTATATTTCTTATGGTCCTACATTGAATATCTATGATGTACTCAACTATAATTGATTTGTATTGAATAATTAATGAATTGTTAAGTTTTTTTTTTTTTAAATATTTCAGTATAAATAATTAATTAGATTTGAAAAGAATAATCCTAATATTTATCTAAATACAAAACTCAAATAGATAAATTGTGTTCAGTACAAAGATTTTTAAATATTATCAATTTTATATAACTTTATATCATCTGAAAAAAGATCTGAGAAACACAAATAGAATAATTGAATAAATTTCTTAAGTTAAAATATTGTTTAATTCCAATTTAATATAATTTTCTAGAAGAATAAATGATTTTTAAGTATGATGACTAACTTAGAAAAATCTAAATTTATAATGTAATGGACTCAACAAAGTAATTGTGGTTTAGTGTAAATTTAGTGATAAAATTAATAATAAAATCTTATTAAATAAGATACTTAATAAATATTTTATTTTTTTTTCAAACATTAAATTTATCATTTTATGTGAATAGATTTGATTTAAAAATTTTATCATTTATCCATAATTGTTATTGGAAACTAAATTAAAAATATTTTGATTTACGAGGTATTATTTTATTGTCAATTTTTTTTTTTCAAAATTACAAAAATTTTAGACACGTATAATATTTCCTGAAAAGATTAAATGAACATCAACGTAAGGTAAATAAAATTATCGATCTTTAAAAAAAAATAGTCACTTAAGTATCGATTAAGAAATATTTTTAATTTTCTCTAATATATTAAGAAGAACTATGGAAGTATCTAAATTATTTCACATAAATTTAAATTAATTCTTAAAGTAAAACACTATGTTGAGATGCAAAGTTTTAAATTAAGTTTGTACTAGAAATGTGAATAATAACTATATTCCGACAACAACTTTTTAAATAATTTTAGCGTTTTTGATATACTTTTAAAATGTCAATAATAACGTTGGTAATTGATTCCAAGATTAATGAGTATTGTATAAAAAGTTAAATCATATAATAATTAACTTAATATCTATAAAAAAATATTCAAGATAATTACAGATAATGTATTAAAGATAGATAAAACAATTAAATGTTCAATTTGATTACTGGATCATAAATTTTAAACCTCTAAGTCTTGGAGCGTGATGAAAGGACCATAACGAGAACGCGTGGGGGAAATCACACATTTCGAAACGTACAACCCAGAAATAACCTCCTCTCTTCTCTCCAAATCTTTTCTTTTTTTTTTTTTTTGAGTTTTACCGTGATATAAATCATTATCGTACGCACCGCTCTATACCTCCGTTTTGTCATTTCCCCTCCTCCCCCACTTCTTCTGTCTATCAATCTATTTTTTCCTCGCCGGCAATCGGCGGAGGGAGAAAGGCGAAGCAAAGAAAGAAATAGAAAGGAGAAAAAGTAAAGATCGCATTACGGAAGAATCGATAAGCTATAGTTTATAGATTGGTGAAGTATAAAACATGTCGGAGGAGGAGAAATTGTTAAAGGAGGCAAAGAAGTTCCGTGGGAAGATCGACTATTGCACATAGAACTGGAAAGGTCGAGAACGAGGCCTAATATTCGACTTGGCCTTCTGTTTGCGATTCCATTCCGATCCAAGGACCCGCGCCTCCGGCGAAATTTCGGTGAGTTTGTGGTTTGTGTTTAAGGGTTTTTATTTTTCCCATTTCAATTTCTTCTGTTTCAGAGTCTGATTCTTTATGTTTGTTTGTAATTGATCTGTGTGTTTTTTAACCCTTTAATATGTGGAAATGTTGTTTTAATGGATGTGGTTTTAACTTTGGCCGTTTGATTTGGGGGAGTAGCTCCTTTTTTAAGGAAGAACAGGTGGCGGGATTCAAATGCGGCCTGTGCAGGAGAAGGGCTCTTGAAGTGCTTGATAGCTTTTAACGAGCTGCGGATGCCTGATGCTGGAGTGAAGAATGTTTTTTATGTTTGTTTTAGTATTCATTTGTTGTTGTCGTTTTTTTCCCTTTTAGTGGTAGTGTTTTTTTTTGGTAATCTTTTACGAATTTTAATTTAGAATTGCTTAATGTGCAGAATAGCAAAGGAAGTTGTGGCCATTGTGGCAAAGTGCCTTACAGGACGGCCGAAAACAGTGGAGAAAAGCTCAGCAGCCTTCAATTCCTTTTGGTAAGCTGGAGGCAGTTTGAAGTTTATTTCTGGGGCTCATTAATGCTTTTATATTTCAAGCGAGTAAAAATTCTGCTTTTCAAATTGATAATGTTGTACCTTGTTAGCAATTTGCTCTGGTTGATTATCACAAATCAATGTGGATGTTTTCTCATGGGATAATTTCATGGAACATGCAACGAAACAGAACTAATATGTTGGAGCTTTTTTTAATCTATCAAAACTGGTGGTGATATGTTATTTTGGTGAGTTCAACTTTTTCTTCTGTTCTGGTTTAGTTTGAATGGGTCCCATTTTAGTTCTTCTTAATTTGGTCGCATTCTCACCTTTCCCAACCATGTACTTACACTCTAGAGGCCTTTCGAGTAATCATAGTATTCTAGGAGAACTTTGTTTGCTCTGAGGATTTCATTCATTTATCTCTCATTCCTGCTTTCTTTTGTGATCTCGTCTAGTTGTTAGTACCTTTTTCTGAATTAAAAGCAGCTGAATGCCTCATATCATAGTTATTGGATTGAAGCTAACAAAAACAAGAAGTACATCCACAAGTTTATTTGAGAACTGAGTAAAGGAAGATGTTTAAATTCTAAACAGTGATGAATGAACCATATTAGTGAAATATCAATGCTATGAAGTGTGATCTAATGTGTGTCAAGAGATGTCTAGATGGAGTTCAAATTTGGGATTTAAGATTTAAGCTGCATTTGTCCATGGTTTTCTAGTGATATCTTGTATGATATAAGAAGGCTAATATTTCTGAATTGACTTAATTTCAAATAATGATTGGCATTTTGCTGATGACTTTATTTCAAATAATAAATTTCTGTTGCATTGAATAGTGTGTATTGTTACTTGTACCTGAATTTTTTGTTCTAATAGTTCTGAAAATTCCTTAATTGTTTTAGTTTTACAAATTTGGTGGTGTTCTCTTGGTGGCACAAAGACAAAGCCAGTCTTGCGGATAAGAATGATGTAGAAGCCTAGGCAACGAATAACAAAATGAAATGCATTCTAAATGGAATAATTTTCACATTTTTTGGAAACACAATGTAAAAGTTACTTCCACGAAGACTATTCAGTAAGATGCAATGCTAAATTTAGAAAAAAAGGAAAATTATTAACAGCAATTGTGCAATGTTCACAGAAAAAATTGAAGCTCTGATCCCTAAAATTATAGTATATGTTGTTTTTGCACTGGAGAGGACTTGAATTTTAGAATCTGTCAAATGAGATTCGGGTACGGAGGATACAGTTGTCCTAAGGAATAAGTTTCCTTTGGGAAGAAATCTGAATGCGTCATAGCTTATGTACTTTAAAGAATTTGAGATTCTAATCAAGGAGTGTGACATCCCTAAGTTTTGCTGTGTAGGAATTTTGATTTTGCTAAAAACTTTTTAATTGTAGACGTTCACCACCACAATTTTTGGCAAGCCTTGTATGGAATAAAAAGCACAACAGGCGACATGTCGTGAGCAAATGAACAGCTCAAGTCAAGCTCATTATTGAAAGAAATTAAAAATAAGTGGCATAAACCTGGAGTTGCTTGCCAATGCAAAGAGAAAACTGAAACAGGTTCATTACTTAAATGGTGTAGTTATTGTTTGAAGTTCTGATGGTCATGCTTCGTGTGTGAGGTCAACCACATGCATCACAGAGGAAGGAACTTAACGAGGAAACAGTATGGTTTGCCCAAATGAAAAATTAAATTAGTGTCTCTTCTATGAAGGGTAAGTAAGTATTTTTCCAACTAACCATCTTATTGTGAATATAAGAGGTAAAATCTGGTTGTGAGTTGAAAATTGTAACTGGATATTTTAATTGCTACAAAGTAAGTTATTAATCATAATTATGTAAACCTGTTTTGAGGAAATGAAGATAACTACTGTTATTATCAGTTATGTAACTGAAAGTTCCTGTCAATTGAACTTGAAGTTGTGTGGATATAACGTAACAGCAAAACTCCTCTTGAAGATAATGAAAAACAATCAGCATGGGTTTGCAGGTTTAGGGTTCAGTGAAATGAATTCCTTGTACTAATGAAACTGCGCTAAGGAATCTATCTAACATACCATAAAGGTAAATGTTATATTCAGAGTTTAAATTTTTGAATTTGATAAACTTTGTATTGGAGGCATTCAAAATAAAACATTCTGAAAATGGTTTTTTCTCGTTTGAATCAGAATTTTTTTTCTTTCTTTCTGTGGAATTGCAAAGATATTCCCATGTTTTGCAGTGTGTCTTTTTGCTGTAAAATTTTTGAGAAATTGCGAGTATATGGAGCTCATTTTAGCATAAGGGATGTAGAACTTGAGATGGTTTTTGGGGGATCATCTCAGAATGTGTTTTCATTGGGGGCACTTGAGGCGCGTTAGCGTGGTTAGCATCAGATTCTCTTCAATAATATATATATATATTATTATCTTCTAAATTTTTCTACATAAGTTTAATGATGGTAGAAAAACCATGTATATAGTGCTAATTCTCTTCCTTACTTTCCCTTTTGAGGTGGTTCATAAGTCCTGTGTGCTTTCTATATTCCTGCTTAATTGGTGCCAGATGTTGGGTTCTAGAGTGTTGCATATGATTTATTGCTTAATAGCCATATGATAAAAATTTGCTGCATTGTTAACTGGTCATAGTTTGGGTTATGATTATTTTTCTTGTTGGATCACTACAAAAGTATGACGTAACAGATGGCTATGGAGAAAGCAATTAAGAAACAAATGTTGCCAAAGCTGTGTTCCTCCTGCTAATTGATGTTATGTTCAAGCATTGAGGTTTGTACATTTGAAATTCCGTTTTTGCATAAAGTTTGGTTCTTTTATAATTGTTGTCTAATTGTCAGTGCAGTCATTCTGCTTGTGATTGATGAATTGTGGAGCCAAAGGTTGTTTCCTCTAAGAAGGACCTTAAGATGGCTCCAGAAATGACCATCAGGAATCAGAAGTTCCGCTGCCCTCCCTCTAAAGGATAACTTTAGAGGCTCTGTCGATGATAGGGAAAGACCCAGTGAAATCAATTTGTTTGAAGAATGATATGGGATACAAGGTATGGTGAATTGACTTCTTATTTTGTAACAGATTCCGTTGCCCTCTACATTGTAATAATCCATTTTTTTTTTTTTTTTTTGTTTTTTTAAATGAAGAAAGAAGAGCTGGAGGCTGAACTTGTTAACGTTATGGACAGCTAAGCCACTCCGGAAGATTAGGTGAAGTTGTGAAGAGACCTTTCCCTTATATTGAAATATATTTACTTCATTTTTTTCCCCTTGATAATAGTACACTCCGAGTGTTGGAAGTACAGGGGGCATCTTCATTGCTCTGGCTCAAAGTAGATTACTTGTGGCTTTTCATTTTCCTTCTTTTGCCTTTATGTTACTACTATATTATTCAGTAGAACTAGAATGAACCTTATCTCTCTTGAGCATTGATAAACATTGAAGCGAAGTTCTTCCATAAGGCTTTATTTCCTTTGCTTGACAGTGAGGTGGTATGCTCATGGCTGTATGCTGTGGTTTATGCTCCAGGTGGTGCAGAGTTTGGGTCTTTTTTATAGTCCCCTTTTTCTGTCCTTCCCATGGATATGCTGACCTGTCTTCTTTAAAAGTTTCTTAGTGATTATATTTGATTATTTAGTGTCATAGACTATTTATAATTCCTCATATGCGTTAGCTTGTTTCTATGTTTGTCCTGTCTGGTGCTTTGTATATGTTTTTCTTAGTTTAAGCTAATAAACTTATTTGACTTAACTTTTCCAAGTTTCCTGTGTTGCCATTCTTCTGATGTTTCCTTGTTCTTTCCTTTTGTTTTTAATTTTTTAATTTTTTTCATTGCTGTATAGTTAACAATTCAAATGTGCATTCCTCTTAAGAAGTCAGTTTTTATTAATTGTGATAAATTTAACATCTGTATTAATAGATCGACAAGATAAGGACCGAGCCAGAAGAAGGTCAGTGAGCTGTGGGGTCCCTGGCCATTCAGAAGAATTGCAGATGATGGTATGTGATTAATTTCCTGCAAAGTTGTCTGTCTCTCTTCTTCCCGTCAATATCTCTTCCTGGACGTCTACTACTTTCAGCTCCCCAGGAAATAGATGAGTATGAGCCTTGTTACCTCTGTAGATATTTTGACCCTTGGAGAAGTCTGGATTTTGGGATGGAGTGGTTAGTGCTCCTCAACTCCTTTGACTATAATGTTATTGGATGAAATTTTTCATCGACTTCTTTGTTTTCTTTTTTTTTTTTTTGAAATTTCATCGCTCATTATTTTCATAATTATTTTAAGCTTTTAGAAAGCTGGCCTAAATGGCAGATAAGAAAAGGAGGCTGTTGCAGAGCTTAACCAACTTGCTTCTACAAAAAAGGATAGCTCGGTGATTTCTCAGGAAAGTGTGTCGGACATTGAAGAAGGTATTGTTTATGTATTTCAGTTTAATGCCTCCTATTTAATTTTTTTCTTTCTCCTCCAATTAAAAATTGTCATTGTTTGTCAATAGTGCATGGAATGGGAAGGCTGGTTGCTAGGTATTCCTAGTGATTTCCATTACTCTTTAGATTGTTATTATTGGTGCTAGCAATATTGAAGAAGAAATCTGGCAGTAGAGATTTTATGGAGAATCAATCATCTTCTGTTTATTATTCCTGGATAGTGCTTCTACCATTTTTGTTTAAGGGATGCTTTGATAGTGCTCCTATTAATTTTGTTTCTTGTGGAAGTTAGAAGCTGTATAGTAGTGTGGGATATTGGTTCTATAAACCCCAAAGTAATCCTGATTGGGTGTATATAATCTGCCTCTGACCCCTAGCATAACTCCTGCTATCTCAGTATATGTAACTTAATCAGGAATTGGGTGGCCTTTTTGTAATTTCCTTCTGTCTTTGTGGAAATATGTCTAACTGTGCTTTTGCAGTTATATATTAAATAAAAATAAAAAGGAAGAAAAGAAAAAAGAAAAGGCGGTAAGAATTGGGAGGTTCTTGAACTTAGACCTGGCTATATCAATTTCGGAGGAACTTCGAGAGGTAATTAACATGCTGAAGGAATTTAAGTATGAATCAACCAACCCCTAAACGCACCTTAATCCGAAGGTAAGCTGTGAGTCAGCTACATTGATCTTCTTTTCTGTTTACCGCAGTTAGGAGTTAATAAGTTTTTATTGAATTTGGGTCTCAATAAGGGGAAGAGGAATAATAAAAAAAAAGGATAGCTAATCTTGAGTTCTTAAGCTTCAATAATATGGATTTGGCAAGCAAGGGAGTTAGAGACAAGTAACAGCTGATAGGAATTTATATAGAACTCAAACTCAACCCCACCATGCCTCAAATCCCAAAGCTACTAATGTCTCAGCTAATATGCTGTCCTTTTCTGTCATTTAGTTTAGAAGCTGTGGTCTTTATTGAAAGGTTGGTACAATTAAAGGGACTATAATAAAACAAGAAAGAGAAAGGTAGGTAATTGTTGGCGTTGACTTGATTGATCTAGATCAATACACAAGTAAGGGAGTTCATGAGAGACAGTTACAGCTGAAGGAGTTGTTAAACGTCAACTCAACCCAACAATGGCCTTAATCCCAAGGCTGCTGGTGTCTCAAGTCCTGTTTGTGAGATCAGAAGTGCCGTATAAAGCATTTTGTAGTGTGCAGCTATTTAATGAATAAACAGGTTGAAAAACTGTTCATTGCAAGCATTAACTGGAATGTCAAAAGTTGTTCCATATTTGGACATCTTTCTTTGGATTCTGTTCGATGCTGCTGGAATTGAGCTCTATTATTAGAAATAATTAATGTTTAATTTTTATATTTTCCAATTTGCTAATAGTTATATTATTGGCTGGTGTAAGTTTGTCAGTAATATACTTGAGACATTTCTGCTTTTGTTCTCCCCTGCAGCTTGTCACAGGATGTGAAATGGCTGTTTCAGTTGAAGCTATACAAGCTATTGGCAACCTTCACGGGTCTGGAACCCATTTTTCTGCTAGTTCCCGGTTCTTTTTGCCAGTTCTAAATTAAAGTAGAATGTTTTACAAACACCAGCACACGCATGGTACAGTAGCACACCATGTACAGTAGAATGGTACAGTCACGCGACACAGCATGACAAGCACATATTAACATTAATAGAAATGTTATTATAGTAGCACGTAAGTTAGTGGGATTACCAATAATCCATAAAGCCGTGAAAAAATTTTATGCGTTCCTAGTTTTCCTTACCGTCTGGTTGAGATTGGTTTTATTAATTCTGTTTCAGTTGTGTGGTTTGCATCAATATTAAATTTCTATAATGGCAATCTAGATTTACGATTTAGTTATTTGAGTTAAAGATTGTGATATTTAGCTTCCCTGTGTTCTTGAATGCCGTATTGATGACAGAAATATTTAAGTTTAATTTTGGTATTGAAACTTTGAATCCCTATGAGAAGTTCCAAATTATAATAAATAGCGCTTTATTATGTCAATATATAGATCTTACAATTTCATCACCTAATCATAGGCCTTTGAGAATCAATGGGAATTAATAGGTCAGTAACCTGTTTTTAGATTAAGTAGCCGTTATTTCCTTTTGCTACCTTCTATCCTTAATTGTGGAATCATTGGATTCAAGTCTTTATAATTTGAAGTGAACCCTTTGTTGTCCTTCTTGTCAAATCATACATTGACAACAAGGGTAGAAAAGTTAGCAAGAAATCAAAAAGCAGGATATCTGGGATTTAATTTTGACCTTGTACAGTGTAAGTGGACGAAGCAGCATACATCTGTTGGTACATGCTTGCATGTGTTAAGTTCAATCTACTGCTTATTCTGACAAGGATTTGTTTTCCAACTGTGAAAGGGAAAAATTGAAATGAGAAAAACCCTACTCTAGCAGACGCACTTACCACAAAGACACTTCAAAGCAATGCATATAATCTGTGCTTAAATCTTGTTGACAATCCGGTTGAGGCAGGTTTTCATTTCTTTCTAATATATTGGTTTAGTTTGTGCAATTAGAAATTATAATTGTTGTTTGGTCATATTTTATCTTTACGTTTTTCCCCTCCTAGTTGCTGTTTGTAACATTTCGTTATGTCCATTCTCCTTTATCAATTTAGTGTTTCTCCTGTGTTATTTGGTGTGCTCTGATTTTGTATCAGTGCCCAGAAAGGTGGTCTTTAAGTATACTAATTTATATGACTTATGCAAATGAAAAAGTTTAGGAGCAAATCACTTGCATTTTTCTCCACTGGCAATCGAAATTCTTTTTTGGATTTCATTGTTATTGTTTTTTCTCCTATACTGCTTGTTCCAGGAAATTTGGAATATAATCCTTTTTTGGTGGTATTGTGAATATATATTGGAAGTTTTTTGGCTTGTTTTGTTTCTGGACAAAGTAAATTTGCCTGGAAAAACATTTTTCAAGTATTTGATATTAAGGGGATCAGGAAAATCAATCCAAATGGAAGATAATTTTTGGTCAAAGGAAGAACTAATGCCAGTCTCTTTTTAAATAGAAAAAAATTTCAAAACATTAGCGTACTTACTGTAAGAAAAAAGCTCATTAATGCAATTCATTTAATTCAATCGAGCGCTGGTAGTCCACTATTAACTACCTGCTATTACTGAGAGACACTGGTCACCTGCAACTACCATAATTTATTATTGCATATGATTCGATTTTCTCCTATCTACAATAAATTTTAGAAAAAATGAAGTGATGAAATTCCAAATATTTTTTATAATCTTAATAATCGAAAATTTTTATTCATGTTCCAATTTCCGAGGAATGATTATTTTGAATATATATTTTCAACGAAAAATATTTTCTGAAGGTAATGTTATTTTCTAGAAACTAATGGAGCCCTTATGTCATTTGGAGGTTGTAACCTGAATAAAGATTCACCATCATTGAGATGGATTACAATTGGTGCTGCTTTGTTGCAGATGTAAGACGGCTGTGAAAATAAAGTCCACTTGTGCGGTCATCAACTTTGTATACCTGGGTGACAGTTTTGTATTGGAAACAAGTAACAATGGCTTTATTCTAAAGGTTCTATCAAGGATATGTCCCTATATGCAATGGAAGTAGTGTGTTCTTTTGCTTAGAGGTCTCATTGATAATATTTTTTCTCTAGTTGAGTTGTTCCTTGATGTTTCAATATTTTGCCTGTGGTGCCACTGTTACCCTTCATTAAGTGAGCTGGCATGCATCATCCTCTTTGCTATGCACACCGCATATTCCAAAGTGACCTATAGGTGTGCGTTACAGTAATTTTACTTTAATCTTATGTTATAATCTTTCTACGAATGTTCGTGAAAAAATGAAAAAAAAAGAAAATGAATGAAGTGTAGGATAGAAAAGAAAAACAATACAGGAGAATACATTTAGAAAACTTTATTCAGGATCTGTTGCATTGCTCAAGAAATAAGTTCAATTATAAAAGCGAAACTTAAACTTAGATTCCTGGGAGGGACTCTTATCTATTGAAGGCCTTTCAATCCTGTGTGCTGAAAATTTTAAAATAAGGAGATTATAATAATAAGTGGTCATTTTCCTTTTTTTTTCAATTTAAGAGTCCTTACGCCTTCAAGCCTACAATTCAGATTCAATCTACTTTCCAGTTCAGGACATCCACAATTTTCAACCAATCTTTTGAGTTTGAAGTGGTGATATCTGGCCTGTCATGCATTCAAGTAGATTTACTTGCCTGCTCTATATAGCAATTTTCCTTTTATTCTTCTTGTAAGTTGTTTGATAAAGCATTGATCTTGGTAGGCCTTAAATGATGGGACCCCAGAAGTGAGGGATTCAGCTTGTTTCAGTATTGGCATGCAAATTGCTGAAGGTGGTACTTCATTTGTTTGGGTAAATTTAAGATGATATGTGGACATTTAGTGACTGCCCTATTATAATTGTTTTTTCTATATTATTGTGCCAGTCTGTTGTATAGGCCGTTTGGAGAGGTTCCACTGGAGAAACTTGAGATGTTTCGAGAGGAAGAGCTGTCTGAAAATGATGCTGGTTCAGGAGGCGCAGCTGTGTCATAGCTGTACAAGTACAGGTTGTTAAATTTTTAACCTAATGTCATGTTGTGTTTTAAAAAAATTCCGGCATTATAAATGATTATTATTTTCAAGTGTATTTAGCTTTTCCCTTGTGTTTTTGTTATGAATGCACCAGCTACAGTTCAAAGCTGTTTAGTGGGAGCGTGTCCTTCTGCAGAGGTGGTTATGTTTTGCTTCTTAACCCATAATGTCTCCTGAAGGTTGGTTTGTGTTTAATATCTTTTAGTCCATTAATACTAGTCCCTTTAATTAGCTTTATAAACTGGCAAAATCACTTGAATCTTTATTATCCCAATATAGATTTTTGTTATATTATATTCCTATTTTGTACCTTGAATGGGAAGCCTAATACTAGAAAAGCTAGATTTCCTTGAAGTACTCTGTTAAGTGATAGGTAGTTGAATTTTAACATTTGTGGTGATGTTTGTTTGATGAATGCCTTTCTATGATCTAAGATTTAACTCTGTTCCCTCCCTCCCTGTTTCTTGTCTCCTTTTGCTGCAGTGGTGACTAATTATCCAATTTCCATAAATCCTGACGTTTGTGCTCATGCACTTGAGAGAAGGATATGATAAGATAAGAAATTCAATAATTGGGTCATCAAAAGATCCCAGTCCAGATAACTGCAACAGAGAATTAAATGGGAAGAAAGTGAAATAATTACATTATACTTCTAAATAAATAAATTTCCAATCTGCTTGGTTCATTGATTTATTTATGAATCATTGTTTGATAAACCTACGTTCATCTTTGATGCGAATGTGACATTTCTGCCAAGATTTTGAGTAGTAATTTTATCTTTTTGTTCGTCAATGTGTCTATTGTTATTGAATTGGTGTTAGACTGACCCTGACTTCAATGTGTGTCTTTATAGATTTTTTTTTTTTTTTTTTTTTAAATTTTAACTTAATATCACTTGAAATAATGTTATTGGATACAATTTGAAGACATCAAGAAGGGCTCATTGTTAGAAAATCAGCAGCAAGTATGCTTACGGGAATACCTGTTCAGCATGTTGTGAGTCTCTCTCTTTCTCTGCTTATTTGTTATAACCTTGGACACTGGTGGCCAGGGTGTTCCTTGATTGCTGTATTGTCATTTATCAGCCTGCTAACAAAAAGGGAGGATCTGTTAAATCTGGTGCCAGCAAAGAAAGCAGATGGAGTGTGCGACCTGAAACCTCAAAAGCAAATTTGAAACCACCAGAAAGATGTTGAAGTAATAAACTGTACTTTCTGTAAAAAATTTATCTTTATTGTCATGTTATATTGTTAAGTTTTTATGATTCTTGAGGTACTTAGTGGCCTTGGCTGGTCTGATTTTGCAGCCAGCAGAAATGATCTTGAAGAGATTGAAAGTTCGATTTAGGCCTCTCTATACAACAGAAACTGTTTCCATAAATGAGTGCAGTGGGAAAGAGCCGGCTTGAGAGGTATGTCATGGTTCTTTCTTGTACCTGTCGTCTCAAGTTTTTGATAATAGTTGTATAGATTGTCCTTTTCAAGTTTTTATTGAGCGTCATTCCTTTTCGTGAAAACTATTGTTGTGATTGTTCGATGCATTGACTTCGACCTCAGAGGAAAAATTGAACATTAGTTTTTATTGTTTCTATTTTATGGGTAAACAATTTCAGTCAGGCGCAGGAACAATGTTGGTACATGTTTCTTTTCTCCAACAGGTTAGCCCTAAGATGTTATAATAAGAGCAGTTCAAATATCTTTATGCTTTTTTTTTTTCTCCATCCTGGTAGTTGACACTTTAGTTCATGAGTGATTGTCAAAACTGTCCCTTAGCACTCACATTATTATAAAAGTATTTAGTTATTTATTATGACTTTTATAAATATTGGTAAAAGGCATGTTTCTGATGTTAATGTTCTTTCAGCTATCAAGTTGTCTTAGCTTAGTGAATGTTGAACCATTCAAGAACAAACGGCAAAGAACAAGGAAAAAATTCCTTAAGAAGGAGGAAAACTAATTTCTCAATCAATATTGTTTCAATAATTGGTCATAGTCAAAGCTCTTTATAATGTAAAAAAACTAGCCCTACTTATAGTGTTTGGAAATCATAAAACCTAGGAATCTCTAATTAAGGCATATACAATAATAAATCCCTGATCATAAATCATCAAGGAAAAACAAATGACAAATCGCTAAATCTAATTAGGAAAACACAATAATGATCCCCTACAGTTCTACTTTCTATATTATAAATTTTTTCCGCCTAAATAAGTAACTCGTTAAACATTCCCTGGAATAGGATTTGCATCAGTTAGTTGTCTGATTTTTACCATTTAAAGTTTCTCTTGTTATGAATTTACAACTGTAAACATTTTGAAACTTTTGAAGCTGTAATAAGGGTGTTGTAAAAGTATTTTTCTTGCTACTCATAGTATATGCATGTTTTATTTAAAGTTAATAACTTTGGGAATTCTTGCAGCAATGTCCTCATTGAAACAACAGTTGAAGGTCTAGCAGTAACTTAATCAGCTGTGGAGATTTGATACGTTTACTCTGGCCTATTCCTGGTTGGAATGAAAAAATTTGCAGTATTTTGAAATTTGATGGTTTCCATATGAAATTGTTTATTAGTTTCATGTTGCCTTTAATCGACCTTGACAGATTATTTGAGTGGGAATGCAGGTTCAGCAACAGATGATTGAAGTGATTACTTATCTAGCTGCAACTGCGCGAAAATTTCCAAAGAAATGTGTAGTGCTTGCATTCTGGGTGTGTAACATCACATATGTTTATTCTTTTTTTTGTAATTTTATGAAAAATAAATTAATTATGGTATTTCAGTTCTTTGCTTTAATTGATTTTTGATCTGGTGCTTTGAAAGTTCAAAAGATTTACTCTTGACTTGAAGTCCATAATCAGTGCCCAAATTGACAGGGTATAAGTGCAACGAGTTGCAGATATTAAAACCCGAGCTCATTGCTATGAAATGCCTTAATCCACTTTTTCTGAAGCAGTAGGTCCAGGATTTAACGTTTTGAGAGAGTAAAGTATTTGTATTGCCTGTGTCCAGAAAGTGTTTACATTAGCATGCTGTCTGCAAGGCCTGTTCAGTGGGATGATCCAGGAACTAAACCAGGGTCATAGTCTTCATTGATCCTGTACAAGTATATGAAACCTGGTGAAACCCATTTATAATAAAAAAGGAGGAATATATCAGGAAATATTTCATTAATCTCAACCTTCTTATTGAATAGTCACTTCCTTTGGATAGAAAGTTTAATATTATAAACTGTGCCTAGTGTGTGTGTGGGTGTGTGTGTGGGTGTGGTGGTGTGGATGCATCCTTGTTTCTATGTTTCCTAATTGTTGTTCTCAATTTTTATAAGTTTCTTCAGAAACTTTTCTAAATTGGTTAACTATTTTTTTTATCTTGGTGTATCAAAATCTGTTAATAAGTTTTTTCAATGTTATAGCAATGAAGTTTATGAAAATACTTTATAGAATTTTTTTCGCCTGCTCAACTCATTTCAAAGAAAATTATTGACCGTGTCTTTTACCTACTCGATTACCTTGTTCCATTCAGTACCTACTGGTTTGAAACTGGCTAGCCCAGTCCCTTTTGACCTGAGTTGGATGTCTGGGCTTGGTTTAAAATAGCTATGGTTATACATTAGTTTTTCTTTATGCCCTGGATATTAACATTGACTCGAAGCTAGAAATACTCGATTTGCACACTTGGTATTAGTTAATGTGTAATTTTTTTCTCAACTGTAGCTTTACAAATCATGAAAGAAGCACTAAGGAAATCCTAAAAGGTTCTCAGTGAAGAATATTTGTGGAGGTTTCAGCAGTTGAGTGACTTCGGTGTATCTCTTTAAAGCTTAGAGGTGTTTATTGTTCTTGCCTAAGATCAATCATCTCCTTTGTCATTCTCAATGATTCCATCATTGTGCTTCTAGTCTTGAGCTATATATTTATGATATTCAGAATAACTGGCAATTTTGCAGGATTTAAATTGATTTCTGTAAAGATATTGGATTTGCAGATGCTAGTGTGCTGCTAGAAATGCCACTAATCAAGCTTTTAGGGCGCCTTTAACATAAAATCGTTTGGTCCAGGCAAGTAAATCATTTAATTTAGAATTCCTTTCCTCTGTTATTTCTTCAAAGATAAGGTTAAAAATTCTAATTTTTTTTTTTTTTGTTCTTCCAGATATTAAAGGATTGTCGACCGACGTTAAACCTGCACTGCTTAGTGCTCTTGAATGGCTGAGTCATGAAAGAATGCCTTTTGAGGTAACCCAAGCAAATGATTATACTTCCTGCTTATTTATACTGTTTATTTCTGATATATGATATTTATGATCTTGCATCTGTTTTTACCAACAGGGTGTGCTTCTTGCGTGCAGCCAAAAGAAAACCAGTTAGGGCATCAGAACCTTGACTTTCTGTATCTGCTGGTGGTTGGACGGCCTGCCATACGTGAAGAACATAGTGGGAAAAGTTAAACCTAATCTGCTAAGAGCATGGAAAGTCCTGATTGGAAGGTATTGGATATCAGCATATGTGAACTTGCGAAAGCAAAGCTTTGGAATAAATTCAATTTTGCTTCACTCTAAATGCTTTAACCAATCACAAGAAACTGAACTGATGACTTATGACTTTTGCCCATTTACTTACACTCCAAGGTTCCTTTTATGAGTCATATTGAGGCTGTCAATAATTTTGGAAGAGCCTAATGAAACGTATTCAAACCAACTGGAAACTGGTATGGCTTCCATTAATATTATTTTAAATTTATTCTTTTCCTCATGTTGACTGGAAGTTTTAGTTGAACTGGAATGTATTGGTAACACATGAATGGCCCATTATGTTTTTTGTGACCTTGTCTTGTTGCGTTGATAATTGATTAGATTTGATTACCAGTGAACTTTTTTGGTGCTCTTGAAGAGACGATGGTGACGATAGCAATAAAATATTTGTCATGGCAACTTTGACTACTATTGGTGGTGTCGCGTTCTGCTATGGGAATGCCTGTTGAGGAAGTCGAGCAGTTTTATGATGTTTTAATGAGAATTATTTAAACTTCATTTTTCCATTTGCTGGGTGCTGGCTGAAAATCTGAAATCATCATGAGGTGTTTAAATCAGGGCATTCTTTCAGGATATTTTTGAAGTGTCTTGGTGACAATAAAGAAACAGTATGAGAGAGGTGTGCTTTGATCTACTTATAGATCCTTGGGTAGCTGCTGTTCATGCTGGATAAAAAGGTAAATGATTGTCCTTCTTATTTTGGTGGCATATAGCGGCATCTTTGTGTCAGCTATAATGAATTTTCTTTTGTTCTAGATTTCCTTACAATTGGCAGCAGCATTGATGGATGCTAAGCCGGCACTGAAAGGGCGTAAAGGATCTTTTTTGATTGGTTATCAAGGCAACTTTCAGGATTAACTGATTGTTTCTGAATGCTCGTGCTTCTGCTGAAGCCATCTGCTCTGCTATGATGGTAATTTTTCCTTTTATTTTTTTTCCTAGATGTGTGTCCCAGATAAAACATGCTCGACAATGGTAGTATTAAATGTGGTCTCTGTGTAGTTCCCTGCTGGTGTATTTTTCATTTTCATTTGAAGGTTGAGCGTATTGATAAATTGATCCCAATGTAAGGAGGTCATATTTTAAAAAATAATGCAGAGGAAAATTTGATTATTGTTTGTCTGGAGTCTTCCTATCGGGTAAGCTGTTGCACTGGGGCACTCTGTACTAACCTTTTCAGATTCAGCATTTGTATTAATTCATCTTTTGACTTCTGTCTTGGCTGCTGTAATATTTTTTTTCAGGATAAATCATCAAGATGTTCGTAAAGGCAATCAGAAGCATGCATCACTGAAGTTTTGAGGGTTTTCCTGGACAAGAAGCAGAGTATGTATCAGTAGAATTATTTCTTCATTTGTTTTGATAAAATTGTCGCAGCTGACATTACATTTAATATATCAACCTTCAGATCGAAGAAGAATCTAAAAGATCTTCATGGGCCAGCTTTAGCTCTTGTTCTTGAAAAGGGTGAGACCTTATGGGGCTTTTCAAAGTATTATTTAGTGATTGGCTGATAAAGCTTTTTATCCGTGTTTGTGCTCATTCCGATGATTCCTCATCCAAATTGAATGTGTTTATTCAGATTCATTTGAAATCTGCAAAAGCCAACTTTCCATGTGGCCCCCACATCCAAGACAGTCCACGAAAGGCTGGAAAAATTTCTTCCAATGGCGTCTCAAAACATGCAAATTAGATCCATCCTCTTCAGTAAATGTATCTCACATTTTAATTACCTTTTGTAAACTTGGATCGAGAAGACTAAATTATCTTTATTCATCGGTTTTATAAGAGAGTTGTACCAACAAAAGGTTCGAGGCAGAAGCCAGTGATGTCTTGTACAGATAGAGCTGTGCAGTCTCAAGCTTTGGTTGAATGTCAAAGACTGCAATACAAGGTATATTTGGCATCAAGACTTAAAACTTTCATTAGGAGTGAAAACACACCGATAAAAAGAAACTGTCATGTCACCCTGCTTTTATCAGGACGACAGGGAAAAGAATGGTAGTTCGAAGGTTAAGTTTGAAGAATTTGCGGATAGAACCAGATGTCAAGATCTTGAGGTTGTCTTTAACTGTGTGTTAAGGTAATAGTTATGGATTCTCTTAATTTTAATTTAGTCCTGAGAGATCTCGCAAAATGTCTTAATGCAGAATGATTGATGAAATATTTCAGAGAGGATTTACACAGGCCCTGGCTGTTAAGTCGGATTTTAAAGAAACAAGTTGATGGGCTTGAGATGCTACAGAAGTGTGTTTAGCTACTTCTTGCTGTTAAATTTTCTTTTTCAACTGTTAATGGCTATCACAAATGATTATTTTCTTTGTTTTCCAGGCTATTCCAGTCCATTGCCTAAGGAAATAATTGAGGTTGGGATATCCTTTTTGAGGTGGTTCGTTTGCAAGTTTTTGTAAATCGAACACAACATACCTTGTTGAAGTATAGTTTTCCATCATCCCTGTAAATGATTTCTGCATTTGATTCTTGCTAGGTAAAAATTTGTTTTTCTGTTGAATGACAGGTGCTGGAATTCCTTCCTGAACTTTTTGAACATGCTGCGGGATGAGGCCTTACACTTGACAGAATCAGAAGCCGCTATATTCTTCCTTGCTTGATTAGAAAGAGGTCTGTATAAAATCTTGGTAGCAACAAAATATATATTCATTTGGGATATCATCATTTTGTAGATGATGGAATTTTTTTTTTCCCAATCCTGGCTTCTTGATTAACTTGTCTTCTTTTTGACAAGGTAGAAGCATGGAAACATCTTATTGTGCTATTTCTAGCTGCTGATGATGAAATTGTAATTTCAATGCCAAAATTGCTTTTGTTGTACTGCCAGTGGGGCCATAATATTGAGAAAGTTCGAGAAAAAGAATGCGGAGCTTACGCAAACAAATAGTTCATCATATCTGGGACAAAAAACTTTTTCCTTAATATTTTGGAAGGTTTGCGCTCCTAAAAAACAACCGTACAGCGGATCGAATTGTGCAGATTTAGTTGGGTCTTATTGATCATCATGTGCGGGCTGGAAGGTGCCGAATGGAGGCTCTAATCCTCTTTTTTTTTTTTTTTTTTTGCCCTTTTTTTTTTTTTTTTTTTTTGCCCTTTTCCATTTGCTATCCTAGCCCACACACATACAACCATATTTCTCTTTTTGTTCATTTCTTTCTATTTTCACGCTTTTCTTTCTTCGATGTTGTGGCCTACAGATAAGTGGACAATTAAAATCCCTTCAACTTGTTGCAAGCTTGACAGCAGAAAGGGATGGTGAAACTAGGAAAGCTGCTTTAAATGCACTTGCAACTGGCTATAAGATTCTTGGTACGTAATGGTGTGAATAGAGCACCATTAGGCGTGCCTTTGTATTATTTTTAATGAAGATGGTTTGGGAATTGTATTGAAGGTAATTACTAGCTGTCTGAGGACTTTCTTCTTTCTTCCCAGGTGAAGACATATGGCGTTATGTTGGAAAGCTCACAGATGCTCAGAAAAGCATGTTAGATGATAGATTTAAGTGGAAGGTTGGTAAATTTTATTTTTCTATTATTTTTCTTTTTATATGCATTGATCCTATAATATTTTTACAGGTCAGAGAGATGGAAAAGAGAAAGGAAGGTCGGCCAGGTGACGCTAGAGCTGCTTTACGCCGTTCTGTTAGGGAAAATGGGTATGCATCTTCTTGTGAAAATACGAGATGGTTGTTTAAGTTATATAGGTGTGGTTGTGGAAGAGAGATTTTTAATGTAATGGCTGTTAATCCAATTGTTGGTGAACTTATGAAATTGCTGTTAAAGTGATTTTTTGTGCCTAGGCCATTTTTATGACTAGTATAGATAATTTTAGATATCACATATTCTTCAAATTCAATGAGGCTCAGGTCAGTACCCTTCAATATTAAACATTCAGACACCCAGTGTAGGAGAATTGAGCCTTGTGCATTGTTTGAAGGCAAATTTGTTTCTTCGATATAAATAGTTTTTCCCCCTCTTGGTACACATGTAAGACATTCCGTTCTTGGTATATTTTTTGAGTTACTCTGGATAACCATATTTCATACTTTATGCAGAAACCTATTTATTGCAGTTGTCCTGTTTGTTGATATAAAAACTAGTATAATTTTTGTTTTTTGTTAAGTTTTAGTTTTATGCTTTGTTGATTTCCTGTGTACAGGAGGTATTGCTTTTATCTGAGCATGGGAAATGTTATGCAATAAATTACTCGGCTTTATGACTGATTAAAAACATCAAAGATATTTGAAAATGTGTTCTTGAGTTTATATTTTCTTAAATCTTTAAACTGTTTTCCTTTCTGCCTATCAGGTCTGATATAGCAGAACAAAGTGGGGAAATTTCACAGTCTCTTACAGGTCCAATATTATCTAGGTATTACTGCTTTTTCTAAATTTGAACTTCTCTAGTTCTATATTTGTTAAATTTATTTGCGGTATGATATAATTTTACTCATATTTGTTGTGGTAAACAATATTGTTATTCATTTCCAGGAAAAACTATGGTCCTCCTGATCTTCACATGGAAAGACAGGTTATGCCCCGACCAGTAACTAGTGTCAATGGACCTACAGACTGGAATGAAGCTTTGGAGATCATTTCTTTTGGCTCCCCAGAGCAGGTTCTTTTTTTTTTTGTATTTTTATTTTTTTTTCCTTTATAGTTAATATGTATGGCTCCATTATACCGGAAGGAATTGATCTTACTGTCAATGTCTAAAGGTTGCCTGGCCAGAAAGTGACAACTGACATGAAAATATTGTCCCAGATATAAAGATAACATAGCAGCCAGTCATGCATGCATAATTTTATATAGATTGCATTGAAGTTTATTATCATAATTTACATGCTTATGTGAATGCGAATTGCTTTGTTGTACAATACTGTATCGCAGCCTTCTATTTGTAAGCAATGACACCCTATAATCCTATTGATTTTTTTTACTCTTTAGTTTTATCCTTGTGATGTGTAATGTGGATTGGAATGAGAAGTTGGATGTCTAATTCTTGTAGTTCAGATGGCTCCGTTTCCTTTACTTTCACATATCTTTTTCTGCTTTAAACCCTAACGTTCTAGTTGGACAAGGTTGGTTGGTGGATTGAAAAGATTGTCTACTTAATATGTGTAACTCTACATGCTTTCTGAAATCCATTGTTTTGTTTAGAAGTCTGTCCAATAATTTTATTATATTTTTATTGCCTTGACCCTGCAATCATAAATGAACTGGCTAATTTCATCTGAAACTTATGTACCAGTAAGTAAAATGTTTTTTGGAGCGACTTGTGCGAGTGTGTAATGTTTTCCACTTGTTACTCCCTGTATCTTGATTGTTTTCATCCATGAATTCATATCTTTCTCTCACCATTTTGTTTTGAGGGTGGAGGGCATGGGCACTTTCTCTTTTAATTTCTGTATAAATTTCATGACTTCTTACAAATTTGGGCTCTTGATTGTACAATATTTCCACTTGCAGTCAGTTGAAGGAATGAAAGTTGTATGCCATGAGTTGGCACAGGCTATTGGTGATCCAGAAGGTAGTACAATGGATGAACTAGTGAAAGATGCTGATAGACTTGTTTCATGCTTGGCAAGCAAGGCAAGAGCTCCTTCAAAATAATAAATGTCCCTTGGTTTCCTTATCACTACGTTCTCTTGAAAATTCTGGAGCCTACCTGATACTCTTGTTTCTGGAATGGACAGGTAGCCAAGACTTTTGATTTCAGTTTGACTGGAGCTTCATCGAGGTCCTGTAAATATGTCCTTAACACACTGATGCAGGTATATTTACTGCCTTGCTATTGAACCTTGTGCTCCTTTTGTTTTCTAAATGTTGGTCAAACGATATTCAGAGAAATAGGATATTAGGGAATAGCTTGAGCAAACACTGCTAGGATATTTTACCAAGTATTACATTTGATTTTCTGCAGACATTTCAAAATAAAAGACTTGCTCATGCTGTCAAAGAAAGCACTCTTGACAGTCTGATAACAGAGCTTCTACTTTGGTTATTGGATGAAAGGGTTCCCCATATGGATGATGGCAGCCAGCTCTTAAAAGCACTGAATGTGCTGATGCTTAAGATTCTGGTGATGAATATCTGACTTGGTTCTGTTTTTCAATGAGTTTTAAGCCATCACATACTTTGTTATTGACTAGTGGTTGTGCATGCAGGATAATGCTGATCGAACTTCATCTTTTGTTGTCCTGATTAATCTCTTGCGCCCATTGGATCCATCAAGATGGCCCTCTCCAGCATCAAACGAGGCATTTGCCATCAGAAATCAGAAGTTCTCTGATCTTGTTGTCAAATGCCTTATCAAGCTCACAAAGGTAAATTGTTAAGTTGCTTATCAAACTGCGCGTTGTCATGCTCAGCAGCTGTAGCACAAGTGTGCACCTAATTATTTTAACATATTGTTTCTTTTCTTTCTTTATGAAATGAAAATGTGAGAAATTTGTTTGCTTGGGTGCCAATATTTCCATAGTGCTTTGTTCTCCGATACATGTAAATTATGAAGTTTGAATGCTGAATCTTTCTATCCCATCTAAGAATTTCCCTATCTCATTAAGATTTGCATGTCTTCTTGTATAGTGAGATCTAATTGGCTTTGTAGGTGGATTAGCTGTCTTTGTCTGGTTGCCTTGCATTTTATGGTAAAGGTATCACCAAGTTTGTTGAACCTTGATCGGAATAGTCAATAAGACCTCTGTTTGATGAGCAATCAGATTCATATTAGGTCCAGTCCTAATATGATACTGCATTAACACTGAACCTGTCAACCTGGCTGGGTCTCAAGAGGGTAGGCTGGTTTAGTTTGATTTGGGTTTTTTGAATACTGTGGTTTGGCTATACCTGACCCCAGCTCTTGCTATGCCTGGCTATTATATATGACCTTTAACATGCAGGCTTCTGTTGGCATTGACATCATGTATTTTAAACTTCATTTTTTTGCTTATTTCATCATCATTTTCTTACTGCACTATCATGTAAATTTTTATGATGCAGGTTCTTCAAAGCACGATCTATGATGTTGATCTTGACCGCATCCTTCAAAGCATCCATATATATCTGCAAGAATTGGGGATGGAAGAAATTAGGAGAAGGTATGAGTTTTAATCATTATGGCTCCCCTGCATTCCCTCTCCGTATGTGAATGCAAGTTTCTTTCCTTGTTTTTTTTTTTTTTAATTTTCTTAATTCACCTTAACATTTTCTTTTGGTCTTTTCACTCAAGCGAATTAACTGTTTCATTTTCAATATTCTGTTTTTAAAGGGCCGGAGCAGATGACAAACCATTGCGAATGGTGAAAACTGTTCTGCATGAACTTGTTAAGCTGCGTGGAGCTGCAATAAAGGGTCACCTTTCTATGGTTCCAATAGACATGAAACCTCAGCCAATTATCCTTGCCTACATCGATCTTAACCTTGAGGTGATGAGTTGTATATTGTATTTTCCTGCATTTTCTCAATTGTGATAGAGAATTACCCTCTCCTTCTACCTTTGCAGACTTTAGCTGCTGCAAGGATGTTAACCTCCACGGGGCCTGTGGGCCAAACCCATTGGGGTGATTCTGCAGCCAACAATTCAACGTCTGCCACTCATTCTGCTGATGCCCAGTTGAAGGTGTTTTATGCTAGTTTTTATCTCGGATTGTCATTAATGATCATATTATTCTACTTATAACATGACTATTTCTCTTTCAATTTCTCCTGAATGATTTTAATTCGATGACCTGCAGCAAGAGCTTGCTGCCATATTTAAGAAAATTGGTGACAAGCAAACATGTACTATTGGCCTATATGAACTATATCGCATTACACAGCTATACCCTAAGGTAAGCAGATGTCATTATTTATTTTTCTTAGCTAGACATTAATAGGAACCTGCTATGGAAATTAATCTCGTAGGTCCAATCATCTGTTGCATGTGTTTGGACTTCATTCTTTAATTTTTTTTTTTAAATTTGAATTTTTTAAATATATTTTCAACTGCAGGTTGATATATTTGCTCAACTCCAGAATGCTAGCGAGGCATTCCGCACCTACATTAGAGATGGTTTAGCACAGGTTTGTATTAGAGTTATTATTCTGCTCTTGTTTGAAAAACTTTTACTTTTTACATGGGCAGATGGGTGTAAAGAGGCAACTTACGACACCTCTGTTAAGGGGGAAACTTTCCTTTATGGATGTTGCACATCAGATGAATCTGAGCACTTGCTAGTAGTTTAATTGGCATGTTCAGAGTCTCAGTTTTTTTAGTGGACAAATTCATAAGAGAGAGTCAATTATTTATTCTATATTTATATTTTTAACTTTTATTGCAGATGGAGAAAAATGCTGCTGCCGGAAGGACGCCATCTAGTTTGCCATTGTCAACTCCCCCACCATCTTCCTTAAATGTTTCCTCCCCAGAATTTGCACCTCTTTCTCCAGTTCATACAAACTCCTTGACGGATGCAAAATCATTGAATGTGAAATCTGAGCCAACAAACTTCCATCTACCTCCTTCATATGCTGAAGACAACAGAACTGTTAATTCCCTCATGTCAAGAGGTCTCATGTCAGATAATTCTTTAGGTGACCAAAGAAATGAGAAATTTATAAGTGGAGGTATTGCTAATGCTTTTGGTATTTTTATTTTTATTTCATGTTTGTTTCATTAACTGAAGAACCCCTTGTTATTACACTGCAGTAACCAGCGGAACATTAGATGCCATTAGAGAACGGATGAAGAGTATGCAGTTAGCTGCCTCCACCGGAAATCCAGATTCTTTGAACAGGCCATTAACAGCTGTAAATGACAACGTGAACAATGGATTCTCTGGTCAAAATCTTGGCGGATCAGATCCTGTTGGGATACAGAATCCAATACAGGGAGGTGTTCTCCCTATGGATGAGAAGGCATTATCTGGGCTTCAAGCACGGATGGAGAGACTTAAAAGTGGTGCAATTGATCCTCTGTAGATTAAAGCTGGGAGTGAGAGCTGTGATCTCTTAAGATGTCAATCATGTAAACAGAGTCAAGTCCTATTGCATTCGAAAATAGAATAGCTTATAGCACCCGCATTCTAGGGTGGATCAGTACCGGGATTTAATTTGATACAAGTTTTGGGGAAGCTGCACTATATATCGATGTGCTAATTGGTTTATGTACTAGGTTCTTTAATATAGGTGATTGTATATTGTAGGCTGTTTTTGGCTATTCAATTTATTTAATACAATTGTATACAGTTTCCAGGAAATGTGTTGTATACAAATGAAATGGTGCGTACAATATGAATATTAGTACTGGTACTGCATTACAGTATTTTGATTTCTATCCAATTTTGTTTGAGCTTTTTAGTTATCTGTTTTTCTGATGCAATTTTTTAAAGAGGCATTTTTTCTTTCCTGGTTATTATTGGGTTAATACACCTTAGCTAATTATGTTAAGAACTAGGAGAAAATTATTTCATCCAGGGAAAACACATGAACGAAGAAGAGCATATATCAGCTAGTAATGATGGGAAAGTATTGCAGCTATGGCAATTTATTTAAAAAAAACTGCAAGGCTTAAAGTTCTTTTAAATGCAATTCAAGATGTGATAGTGACAAAACTTGTTCTCAGTACAATAATGGTTTTCAAACTCATAAATTGATATGGGCCACCCAGTTTTGAAGCAATTAAATGATGGGCAAATGTCACGACCCGTTTCCGTGGGCCGGACCGGCACTAGGGCCCAGGTAAGCTTAAGGCCCCCGAGGCCCGTAGTAAGCCTGAAACGCTACCGGCACCGGGCACTAGGGCCCAGGTAAGCTTAAAGGCCCGCCGAGGCCCGTAGTAAGCCTTGAAACGCATAGAATCTATGTAGTCAGCCTGAAACACTAGAATCTATTATCTCAGTATAAATTTCAACATTCAGCCCATATGATTATGAAAAATAAACCTCAATATTTTATTATCTCTCGGCCCAAGTTTATCTCCTACAACATTCCATAGTTCGGGCCCAATCACAGAATTATTTCATCTATGTTAATACACGACTAAATGTACGTAAATCCTACAACTGCAGAGTCACTAACTGTTTGGTATACAACTCTTTAGTATACATAGCTTTTTATACACATAATTACATAGTGAAATAATTATAGAACTAGGAAAATTTCTCTATTGCTCTGCGCCGAAGAAACATAGTCTAAACCGGATTAAAGAAAAACTTACTTCCTGAAAAATCAAACAAGACGTGTGAGTTTTCTAAGGAGTAATAATTATTGCACAACACACACAGTCACACAAATGTGTACACATATTAATCTAGTCACCCGACTAGTTATATGCTCACGCAGCCAGTCACACAAATGGCATATCACCAGCACTCACAATCATAAACATCTTCATATAATCACATCACGTGGAAAAGTCGAGTGGCGCCACCTGAAAACCCCAACGAGCCGTCCTCACACAGGCTCGCCTCTATACATGTGCACCAGGAGCGGATCCCCGCATAGCGGCCAACTGGTCTAATCCTCACTGACCAGTCCTCTCATTGTATTTCCATTCTCTTCTTTTCTTTCCATACCAACAGAGCAAACCGGTGGTCTCCATCCAATCTAGATCATCAAGTACTCGACAACAGGAGGCCACCCTGCGGGCTTACAAATCAAATCTATAGATTATCAGTGCGCAACAACAAGAAGCCATCCTTGTGGTTTTCCACATAATCCATTTCATCAGGTGCACACGGGGGCGCCGATCTTCCCAATTTTCCCGGCCGACGGGTCAAATATCATATAATATTCGGATCCATATACACAGAGACCGTCCTCACAAACCCCACGGGGTCCACTTCAATCCCAATTTCCACACAAACAAAGCATAGCATTATCCACAAACACAATTAATCAAACGATACAATCAAAATGCAGAAAGCATATTAATCAATTAAAACATCGTAATGCCAATGCACAATTAAAAATCAAAATGCAATGCAAATAAATAAATAAAGTGATTAACAAATAATAAAATAAATAAATTAAATAAAATATGGTAAAATAGAATTATGTAAATAATTAAATGAGTAATAAAGATAATAAATAATCAGAGCACTCTATTTATTATGTACCAAGTTATAGAATTAATCTAAATGAACTTATTTAATCACGTCATTCATTAAAACTAGTCTAGGTCCTATTGAAATTTCGGCAGCACATCCCCTAAAAATTGGACTATCTACCTGCTCAAATATCACAATATTACTATATATTTATCAAATCAATGCACACAGCCCATCCGCTGGGCAATCAATCAATTTAAAATCCCATCCTCCTTCCAAAATAACAATGTCAACACTCAACCATTAATTTACAACTTACAATAACCTCCAATTATGTTCCAATGAAATACCAATCATTCTTTACTTCATATAATTAGTAACTATGCTTCTATAGCTTAATGCCAAACATATGGAAAGAGCTTAATACATATAAATTTATAATCGAAATAAAACTTGTTATCATTAAGTTAATTTTCAATTACTTTTCATTTGATAGTTTCGTAGTGTCTAAAACTATTATAGTACTCTTTAGTCAAGACTCTCATTTCTTCATCCTGCTTAAGAGATAACAACGCACATATTATACCTTTATTAAATTTTAAATTAGCCACTAAGAACAAATGTTCAATTAAACTAACATTTAATGGATACATCTATTAGAAGAAATCCAATTTTACAAACTTAAGATTATACCAACTAACTAATTCCTAGCAGAATTAATCTACTACTATAAAGAAATCCATATCAAGCAATAATCTATATAAACTGATGGGAAGCAATAATCTATATAAATGATTGAAAATAACTGCTGCCACTGCCCAAAGTTTCTCAATTCTTATCAAACATAGTCATTCGAACCTCTACATCCACAACAAGTTACGAAGAGCGCATTTATTCTAACAATATAAACTTGGTTCAAGCAAAAATCCATGATTTCCCCTAACTAGAAGTTGCCATTATATCAAAAAAATCTTAAGTTATTGATTAAATTTATACATTATATGCTACTTAACCCATTTCCCCTCAACAACTTAATTTATAACTTCGTTTGCATTATACCACAACAATTATTCAACTAAATAGTTAAAATGGCAAGCTGCCATTTCAGGTTTATCAATTCTTTCACCAAAATCTGCATTAAACTAAATAATTTATTCACTTGTATAAGGAATTTCAGTTTATAAATCAATTTAAAGAGTAAAATCAAAGCTTCTAGTTATTTACACTTAAACAGTAGCAAATTTAGGAATTTAAACTCTACCCAACTTGATTCATGCATCAAATTTATACTCTTGTTCAAACAATTCACTAAATGTATCAAAGAAGGTTGAAATCCGACTTACCCAGCTGAAAAACGCACCGAAAGACTGAGATTTTTCGATTAAAGTGACCGGAAGTGAACTTCAAAGCCAAAACCCACTGCAGCCGGCGATAGCTTGACTGGAGGAGACAACAATGGAGTATCAAAGGCTGCTGGCAATGAGAGAAGGTTCAGTCTCATCGGCTTGCGTTTGATCTCGCCGGAAAAATAAAAGAAAGCGGTAACGCGATAGTACCGATCAAAATGGGATAGGGGGAGGTTTCTAGAATTGTTTAGGTTTTTTTTTTTTTTTTTTTTTTTTTTTTTTTCGGAACGGGAAGAGAGCGAGGGCTGCTGCAGTGAGGAGGCGACAACGAGGCCGGCGATGGTCTCAGGTGGTCGGAAAAAGAAGAGTTGCGACATAATTTCCCGATTGAGTCTCCTGCGGTTGCTGTGTTCGCCATAAAAGAAAAGAGAGAGAGGAAGAGAGGCCAGAGCTGCGGTGAGGCGGTAGCGTGGCAAGGAGGCGCTGGTCTCAGGCGGTCGGAAAAACGAGAGGAGGAGAAGGGGAGGGTGGGTCGACGCTGCTGCCCGAAGAAGAAAAGAAAAAGAAAAAAAAAAAATTTTTTTTCACTTGGGTTTTCAAAGCTATTTGGTTTGGTTTTCGAAAGATCAAATTTGGTTTTTAGGCCTGGTTCGATTTATTTTAATTATAGTTGGTTCCATTAATATTTTCTCCATTCACTCAATATAACATCAAAATATGAACAATTATGATAATTTTGATATTTTAGGATAAATTAATTTATTATATATTTTCATAACAGATTAAATTGCTTTTCATATTATTTTCTGAAAATTTTAACTGTTCTCAAATCGAAAATTCTGGACAAATATATTTGGGCTTGGGCCCAACTCACAACACTTTTGGACCCCAAATTTAAAAGATTTGTTTGGTTGTTTAAAGCCCATATAATTCAAAATTCGAAAATTTTTGATTTAATAAAAATTTTAAAAGTTTTGAAAATAAAAAATTCGGAGTATTTAGCAAACCTTTTTTCAAACCAAAAGTCTTTTTCTTTTTAAAATAAAAATTCGGAGTATTTCAGCAAACCTTTTTCAGAACAAAAGTCTTTTTCTTTTTAAATTTAGGTTATATCAGGAGTTGGAAATTTGAGTCCTTTCAGTCGTTGGAGGATTGCAGTTTGCACATTTTAATTCTACATGTGGAATGACTCTTTTTAAATTTATGGTTTTTCGATGACAATTTTAAAATGCCTTAATTTTTATACCACAAGAACTTGAATAAATATCCTATTTAATCCTTGAACTTATAAAATAAATATCACAATGTTATATATTTTATTTTATTTATAAATTAGACTTTAGCAAGTAAGTAGATTAAATGATTGAGTTGAACTGAGCCGAATTGAAAAATATAAAATTATATAATATGTTGACAATCACTGTTAGATATCATAGTTGACTATTGATAACTAAAAATCTCAATTTTTAATATATTGAATATAAAAATTGAAATTGCTTACCAAATGTCTAAAATCACAATTTGGAGTCTAGACCTCAATTATTCACTATATCTATTGTTATAAATCAACATTTAAATTGTTTCTAATACACATTATCCATTAGTAATTATCAAAATTTTTTAAACTTAATGATCTAAGATTAATACTATTAAAGAATTGACGGACATTTGGTCAATTCAATTAATTAGTATAAACAAAATAAACTATTATAAAAATGAAATTGAGTCCATCAATTCTTTTCAATTTATCAATTTAACGCAAGATATGTTCACCTTTATGTCTGTTGGAATTTATCTATTTGGATCGAATTCCTAGTTGAATATAAAATTTTTATTGAAACAAAGTAGAAATAATTTTTTAAAAAAAAATCATTGGTTTGGTAGGCCATAAACCCACTCCAAACCAAGTATTTCCATGTCTATTTGTCCCATCAGAAGTGAGGGATCATATTCCTAAGATTATGACA